AAAAAAATTTGAAAATCCGTCGGAAAACGGTGGCAAAATTCCGACGGAATATACCGTCGGAAATTTCCGACCGTTATGGCCGTCGGAAATTTCCGACGGTATATTCCGTCGGAATTTTGCCACCGTTTTCCGACCGCCAGTACCGTCGGAAATTTCCAACGGCCATAACGGTCGGAAATTTCCGACGGTTTTTGCAACCACCCATATCGGTCGGAAATCCGTCGGAAATTTCCGACAGATTTCCGACCGTTTTTGGATTTCCGACCAAAACGTCCGTCGGAAAAACCCATTTTTCTTGTAGTGATAGTTTTACCAAACGTTACTTATGTCATTATTTTTACCCACTTCTTCAATCAATTTGTGTGATGGTAAAATATAAGAACCACAGCACACACCACACACCAAAATCATAGCTTCGCCTATCTACACTTATATAAGAATCACATTTATAAGAATCACATTAATAGAATCATATGTCGAAGGAAAAAAAAAATCACATTCATATGATTCTATGAATGTGATGCTTGTGAATGTGATTTCTTTTTTTTTTTTTACTTCGACTTATGATTCTATTAATGTGATTCTTATAAATGTGATTCTTATATAAGTGTAGATAGGCGAAGCTATGATTTTGGTGTGTGGTGTGTGGTGTGATTCTTATATCTTTAGTGGTGGGACTATATATTCTAACTAAGAAAATTGAGAATGATTGGAAATAATAGTGGGTGCATGTGGTAGGGATACATACTTGTTCGTCGAATCATTGTTAGTTACAAAGAACAGTTTAAGATACACACAGATCATGTAGAATTGTAAATGTTATGTAAGTCGTAACACCATGCAAAAGTATCCTTTTTTTTATCTATCATCCATCATAAAAATTGTGATGTTGAACGTACCAAATAACATTGGGATTGCTTCCATATTACAATTTTCTATTTAAAACCAAAGTGTAGTTTTTTTTTCATGCATTACTATCTTAATTTTTCCAAATTTTGTCAATTCATTAGAATCTACCTTATCTACATCTACAATTCTCTATCATGTCTTTCTTTCTACCTTCCGTCAGAAAATCGTGATGTCGTTAC